AAAGGAGGAGGAGGAGGAAGAAGAAGGAGGGAAAACCTCCTCAACCTCTACTCCAGCTTTACTCAGGCTTTACTCATGGTGTAGAATTCCCAGTGTGGGTGTGGCTGAGCTTTAAAATCCTCTCCCCAAAAAACCAATCCCAGTTTTTCCCGATTTCCCTGATTCTTTTTTTTGGGAAAAGGAGGAGGAAGAGGAAGAGGAAGAAGAGGAGGAAGAGGAAGAGGAGGAAGAGAAGGAGGAAGAGGAGGATGAAGAGTCCGTGCCTCACCTCCTGCTGCTTCTCCTCGTTGGGATAGGTGTCCACGAACACTCCCAGCCCCAGGAAGTTGTCCTTGCTCCCGAAAACGGGTCCTGGAAGGGAAAAGGGAATTCTTGGCGTCCAGGTGTCCCCAAACCCTGGACAAGGTGTCCCCAAGCCCTGTCCCAGGTGTCCCCAGGTGTCCCAGGTGTCCCCAAGCCCTGTCCCAGGTGTCCCCAGGCTGTCCCCAGGCTGTCCCCAGCTGTCCCAGGTGTCCCCAGGTGTCCCCACACCCCTTACCCGGCTGCATCCTGTCCTTGGTGTACCAGATGGCGAAACCGTCCCCGTTCAGGTTCTTCTTGCCTTGCCCGTGGATCTTGAAGTGCACCTGCATCTCCCAGTCCCGCAGGTAACAGGGCTGCCGGGGAGGGAACGTTCCAGAACATTCCAGAGCATTCCAGAACGTTCCAGAACATTCCAGAGCATTCCAGAGCATTCCAGAACATTCCAGAACAATCCCCCAAAACAGGGCTGCCAGGGAGGGAACGTTCCAGAACATTCCAGAACATTCCAGAACGTTCCAGAGCATTCCAAAATCATCCCTCAAAACAGGGCTGCCAGAGAGGGAACGTTCCAGAGCGTTCCAGAACATCCCAGAACATTCCAGAACGTTCCAGAGCGTTCTAGAACATCCCAGAACGTTCCAGAACGTTCTAGAGCGTTCTAGAACATCCCAGAACGTTCTAGAGCGTTCTAGAGCGTTCTAGAACATCCCAGAACGTTCCAGAGCGTTCTAGAACATCCCAGAACATCCCAGAGCGTTCCAGAACATCCCAGAACGTTCCAGAACATTCCAGAACATCCCAGAACATTCCAGAGCATTCCAGAACGTTCCAGAATCGTTCCCAAAACCAGAATCCATCCCAGATTTTCACCCAAGGCGTTAAAAAAGTGAGGGAGGACAAAAATCCAAGCAGGGAAACCTCAGGAGAAGTTTTTATAAATTTAAAAATTTAATTTATAATAAAAAATAATATTAATAATTATTTAAATTTAAAAATTTAATTTATAATAAAAAATAATATTAATAATTATTGAATAATAAATAATGTATAAATAATATAATATGCAGATAAAATAATAAAGTAATTATTAAAATTTAATAATTACTTTATTTAGTAAAATTTAATAATTAAATTTTTATTTTTTAATAATTAATTTAATAAATTAATTTATTAAAAAGTAATTATTAAAAGTAGAAATAAAATACGTTTTGTAACATGTAAAATAATTGTTAAAAATATAAATGTAATAAGTTTCATAAAATATAAAATAATTATTAAAAATATAAATGTAATAGGTTTTATAAAATATGAGATAATTATAAAAAATATAAATAGGTTTTATAAAATACAACATAATTATAAAAAATATAAATAGAACAGGTTTTGTAAAACATAAAGTAATTGTTAACAAAATAAATATAATAGGTTTTGTAAAATATAAAATAATTCTGCTCCTGATCCTGGTACTGATCCTGATCCTGATCCTAATCCTAATCCTGATCCTGATCCCGATCCTGATCCCAATCCTGATCCTGATCCTGGTCCTGATCCTGATCCCGGTCCTGATCCTGGTCCTGATCCTGGTCCTAATCCTGATCCCGGTCCTGATCCTGGTCCTGATCTCAATTCTGATCCTGGTCCTGATCCCGGTCCTGATCCTGGTCCTGATCCTGGTACTGATCCCAATCCTGATCCCAATCCTGATCCCGGTCCTGATCCTGATCCTGATCCTGGTCCTGATCCTGGTCCTGATCCTGGTCCTGATCCCGGTCCTGATCCCGATCCTGATCCTGGTCCTGATCCTGATCCTGATCCTGGTCCTGATCCTGGTCCTGGTCCCAGTCCCGATCCCGGTCCTGATCTCAATTCTGATCCTGGTCCTGATCCCGGTACTGATCCTGATCTCAATCCTGATCCTGGGTCCTGATCCCAATCCTCATCCCAATCCTGATCCTGATCCCGGTCCTGATCCTGATCCCGGTCCTGATCCTGGTCCTGATCCTGATCCCAATTCTGATCCCGGTCCTGATCCCGGTCCTGATCCTGATCCCAATCCAGATCCCGATCCTGGTCCTGATCTCGATCCTGACCTTCTCCTCCAGTCCCGGTCCTGGTCCCGATCCCGATCCTGATCCCGACTCTCTCCCCCGATCCCCATCCCGACCTCGCCGCTCTCCTCGGTCCCGCTCCCGCCGCTCTCTCCGGTCCATGCCGGTT